CACAAAACAAAATAAAAATAATAAAAATTCCTCTCAAATCTGCTAGAACTGTAAGGTTGAATACTGTACACAACAGGGATGAACTGTCATATTTGTTGCTATGATAAACAATAAAATTAATACATAGCATATTATAAATACAATAGCACATATTTTAGGTCAAAAAATAGTTCCTTCCACACTCAAACCATCCTCTGGGTGACGCAACCCACTTCAGCCAAGCAATTAACCAGGTGAATCACAGATGTGTGGCTGCCGCGCTGTGCTGTGTGTATGCCAAGACATCATATTTTGGGAGGGAGGGTGGTGATGCAGTTACAGCCCACCATCTCCACTTCCCATAATTACACACCCATGCTCTTCATTTTTCCTGTTTTTTTATTTTATATTTTCCTCATTTCTAAGCCACAATAGAGTATTGTAATGATTTTCCACAATTTTTATAGATTCATTACATGTAAAAATATATGAGGCTGTTGGGTTGGTAAGTCAGCCACACAGTAACAGCCCACCGTCTTCAAACTTTTTATTTTTCCTATTTAATATTTTTATATTACAGGTTGACAACCCTTTATCCGAAATTCCGAAAACCGAAAAGCTCTGAAAACTGATTTTTTTTTTGTGGAGCATTTTTTTTTTTTTTATGGGTATTAGCCCACCCGGGCACATGTCACTGACCCACATCGGGGCCTGGGGGGTGAAAATGTAATGGTAATAATAATTATAATAATACAGGTAATAATAATAATAATAATGATAATACAGTGACCCCTCCGTTAACGAACTCAATCCGTTCCAGAAGGTCGTTCGTTAACCGAAACCATTGTTTCAATGGGTTTTTGGGTAATTGGTTCCAGCTCACCGAAAATTTCCTAAATTCAACAAAAATGGTAGAAAAGTTCACTTACTTTGAGGTGTGTATGTAGAAGGCTCCTGGATGATGATGATGATGATGATGATGGGATTTAGAATGGGGGTGGAGGAGAAGGAAGAAGAGAAGGCATTGGGGTGGAAGAGAAGTAACCCCATGGCACCATGTCACCCATAAAATTTTAGCTCTCTTGGTGTAATTCAAGATTATTTTCTTTAAATCAACACTGCACTGCATTATATATTGTCAATATGTAAAATATATTTCAAAATGACCAATAATTTGCTTGGAAACACAGAAAAAAAGCATTTAGTTGAAGAGAGTCTCAAGCAAGATGTTACCTCCAGTGAAAACAGAGAGAGACTAACGCTTGTTTGCTGTGTTAAGAGGCTGGATGCCGCGCATTAAACTAGTCACTTTACCTTCAATTATGTTCAATAATTGTTAAAATGACTAAAAATTGAATATTAAACTTTTAAAATTATTGAATAGTATAAACTTCTTGATATTTACTAAAATAGTAAGGAATTTAAGCCCTAGAACCGATTAATGTATTGGCGGACTGATACTAAAGCTGGTTGCCCGGTCAGTGCAAGCGAAAACATGTTGAGGTCGGTTCGTAAGAACTTCGTTAACCGAATTTTTTTTTCGTTAACCGAATTGAAGATCCTTATGGAAGGCAGTTCGTTATTCGAAATTACGTTAACCGAGGTGTTCGTTAAACGAGGGGTCACTGTACAGTAATAATAATTATTCATAGTAAATAAAAATTTTAATAAAAAATACAGAAAAATAAAATAAGAATGATAACAATAATAATAATAAAGAAATACAAGAATGAAAAAAAAGATCAAAAGTGAGAAACATGACCTAGACCTATGAATTATTATTATTATTATTATTATAATTATTATTATTATTATTATTATTATTATTATTATTATTATTATTATTATTATTATTATATTTTAGCCCCCAGGCCCCAATGTGAGTCAGTGACCTGTGCCCGGGTGGGCTGATCCCTGTGTATATATAAAAAAAAAAAACTTACCATTCTGAAATCCGAAAAATTCCAAAAACCGAAATGCATCTGGTCCCAAGGATTTCGGATAAAGGAATGTCAACCTGTATATTTAATTTATTTATAAGCTACATCTCTTAAAAAGTGGAATAAGTGTTACATTTTTCCATAAATCCGTGCATTTTCATGAGTGTATAAATTTCCAAACAATTTTATTTTTCTTAAATAAACTCAGACAAGCAAAAAACATTGTAATTGGAGAATTATCACCAAAATGCACATATTTGTGGAAAAATGGACTTTTGAGACAAATTTGCAAAGTCAGCCTGTAGCATTGTGCGCTGTAGTATTTATTGGGGGATCCTAAGAGTAAGTTTCAACGAACAGGAAAATCTCTTTTTCCGGCACCTCTCTATCCCCATACGTGCCACATAACTAGGATCCTACTTTAATTAGCATTGCAAAATTAATTAAAAGTTTTCTGATTCATTTGGACAAGTAATTACAGTACCCAAATTTCAATGCTTTGACCAGGGGCATTGCTAGCCACACAAAACATCCTGGGCTTTAACCCAAAGTGTTTCTCCAATCCTCTTACTCCCCACAACTCTTGCCAGCTCATCATGGCTCACTCTAATAACAGCTTCATGTGCAACATTACACATACATGCATGTATTTTCACATTTTATTCAGTATGAATTTATACAGCTCAAAACAAGGAAAACATTAGGGAATCATTAGGTTAATACATAATTGCTCATCAAATGCAAAATTATTCTTCGGCAGGACACTTACAACATGCTCAAATCCCGCTAAAGTGTCATATAGGAATCTCACTCTGGTTAAGAATTCCTTAGAGGATAGATGTAGATCGAAACATTAATTCATAATGCCTGTCCTTGCATTGTGCAAATGTGTTTATGATTTCAGTGTGCCTGACATTCTCTAGAATTTCCTTTTCAATATATAAGACAGCCGGGTGATGCAGTCTCCTTTGCCCCATTATTCATCGTAGCCAGGTGTGCAGATGCCTCGGTGCACTGAAAACTCTGTTGCAACTGCAGCTGCTGATTGGCATTGTCAGGCCAGCTTGTATTATTGCTTTAAGTGATGGAAACACATCAGGATCTAATAATCTGAATACACTTATCATGTCCTGAATGGAATTACCAGTCCATTTTCTGTGGGCTAAATAATGTTTCGCTAATGTTAGTTCCTCAGATTTTAACTCCACGTTATAATGACTGGCAATGACTGAGAGGCACTGCTCGGACAAAAAATTTCAGAGGTAGGGCTGCATGCCTGAATTCCTCTTAACAGGTCAGCATTTACACTAAAAAACTGATGATCAATCTCATTTATTATCTGGTCCAGACATGGAAAATATAACTTTCCCTTTAGGTGTTCTGGGCTACTAAGATCGCTACTTGCTCCACGAGAGGATTCCACCACAAAGTCATCCATTCGCTTTTGCTTCCTTTTTTGACTAGTAAATGGTTCCTCTGGAATGTCATGAACCTCACGTATTGACCTTGTCCTTTCATATAACTTGTCAGCACTCTCATCTGTGTGTTTCTCCTTTAAACTTGCATGCACAGTGTCTTTGAAATGTATTGCTTGGGGAAGGTCTATTGTTTCCCTTTGCAAAAATTTAGAAAGTCCCTCTGAAAAGGACAGAAGAGTTTGAAACATTGTTAGTGAATAGACCGTGGAGAATTTCCACTATTTTAACAACTTACCCACCGCCACAGCTGTCTTGATACTAGAGAGACATTGAATGACAGCAGAAAAGTTGTCTAGCATAGCATTGATTGAGCGAACCTGGCATGACTATCGAGTTTGTGATAGCTGAACAAGTTCAGATGGATCTAGTCCTAGTTGTTTTTTAACATCCTCAAACTTCTGGTAGTTAATTAGGGAAATAGTAAAGAAGAGTGCACACTCTCCATTGAATAAAAAAAATCACTGGCATCTGGCACTGCTTTGCAAGTTTGGCATAAGAATAAGCTCAGCTTATGTACATAGCAATGAACATATATTGCTTTAGGGTGATTTTCTACAAAACATGATTCCACACCACCAACTGCTTCACTCATAACTGAAGCACCATCATAGTCATTGTGAGGATTAACATAACAGCTGAAAAGTTCCGTTACAAATAGAAAAAAGATTGAATGGATGGCATTTCTTGTTAGTCATATATGTTTATAAACTTTGCTCTTCCCACATTCAAATATATCTCTACTGTAGCAGAAACACAAATAAAGAACATAATATTACTTACATTATATGGAATCTGACAAAATCACAGCAGCACAATAACACACAAGCCTTGTGAATTTCCCGGACCGGTGGGCCGGTGGCCAGCGTGCGGCACTAACTTCAATAAGAGGGCTGCCAGGTGATGCCATATTTACCAATTAACACCAAAAATTTGGGATCTTGATCACATATTTACAGCTACCGGAGAGGAAATGGAAAACGTGTTTTCCATTTTTTTTAAGTATGTAGATATGACACAATCTTTATTTTGATATCAGGATAGGTGGGGAATTATGCTTCTGTCAAATGCCAGGAAAAAATGATCCGGGGCTAATCATAAAAGAACCGGAGCTTACCCCAGTAAGCACCCAGAAGCCCGAGTCTAATGACACCACTGGTTTTGACCCTATATCCTTAATTAGAACATTGTGTCATTAGCACAAGTAATTATACCAAAATTCCATTTTTTTTTACCCGAGATTCATATTTAGAATGTCAAGGAATACAGCACTTATATTGAGTTTTGAATCAAGTTATCATAGGTGCCGAGTACAGTGATTAGATACGAAACTAATTAATAGTTTGTAAGTCATTAGGAAAGTCATTATAAAATGTTCAACTTTTTTGACCACAGAAGGACCTGTGGTCAAAAACTTGATATTTTGGCAATGGACGAGTTGACGGTTCTGGGTAAACACAAGAAATACTTTCTGCCACATTCATAGAGTGATACAGTATATATAATTTGTAATAAAAGTTTAAAGTCCTGCTATAATAGCAGAGATAAGTTTATTTCTCTAGAAAGAGGGCCGCCATTTGCAATGACGTCACCTGTTTCCCAGCAGACAACGCTCTCTATCAGACTCACAGCCACAGTTGTAGGAGTACAAAGGATAGCCTCTTTAGACCCCAAATACCACGTTTAGGTAAGTTTTAAGGGTGTTTTTTTATGGTCTAAGTCATAGACATTTCGCAAGTGAAGAAATGCGCCGTGAAAAGCTGTTTCAAACATAGGTTGGATGGATATATTAGCGATAGGGGATGGGTGTAAATGGGACTGGCCAATATGGGCCAATAGGCCCGCTGCAGTTTCCTCGGGTCCGACTAATGACCCAAATGTAGCCACAATGAAGTCAAATGATGGTCCTACAAGAATAAATCGGACTGCCAATCACTTCTCGACTAGTATTTGGTGTCACGAAGTCACAAAAAATTGGTAAACTTAATTTAATCTGAGTTAATAGATCGAATGCATGTACCTAACCTAACCTAACCTAACACACCTCGGATTAAATTAAGTTTACCAATTTTTTGTGACTATGACACCAAATAATAATCGAGAAGTGATTCACAGCCCGATTTACGCTTGTAGGACCATCATTTGACTTCATTACGGCTACATTTGGGTCATTACTCGCTCCCTTTGTACATGCACGCGATCTATTAACTCAGTTTAAATTAAGTTTCCAATTTTTTGTGACTTTGCGACACCAAATACTAGTCGAGAAGTGATTGGCAGTCCGATTTATTCATGTAGGACCATTATTTGACTTCATTGCGGCTACATTTGGGTACATTTGGGTAATTAGTCGGACCGTTTCCTCCATTCTTATGTTCTTATGGATGCAAGAAACTCCCATGTTCACCCCAGCTCAGCTGTCATGTTCTCTTACCTGGTAGACTTTCTCTTTTTTTTCAGTGCATTTACAGAGTATATCAGTACTAGATGAAGATACGAGTAAATTTAGAAGTAATGACATTGTCTGGACTTTATTTTGAGAATGCCTGATGACATGACAACATAGTGGTGTTATTGTTTTGATGATTCACTGATGAGCCACTGTTGATATATCATTATTTACAGTATATTAATTAATGGGTAAAATTTTACTTTAACTACCATAAGTATTTGGATGTTTAGATTCGAGATGGACTATGTTGGGTAAATTTTAAGTTTTGGTCATCCCTGTACTTAGACATACAGACTGTGGGTTTTTTCTGATGGTTTGCGATGAGTTATGGATGATTTAGGCCTTCATTTCTATCGGAAATCATTAGTTTTGAGTTACTACCCCCTCCCCCCCCTTATGGGATTGAAAAATGTTTTGCGACAGAAATCCTGTAGAGAAAATTTGTCTTATTGTTTAAATACTTAATCCCATAGTTAGAATCTTAAGGTTCCCCAGATGACTCAAACCAAAATAATACCAATATTGTTTGGAATGTTTATATACTGTACTAAGAAATTTGTAGTAGGGGCAGATAATATCCATTGAATTTATCAATGTCTCAGTAATATTTATATATTCAATATAGTATTACTGTGTTGCACAGTAAAGCACAATTAATTATCAAATAATATTTATTTATAGAGCCGATCAGCCGAGAAGGTTGGAAAACTACTTCCAGGGTTCATCAAGGCAGGTGAAAGAAATTTACCAAAAGTAGATGTGATTATGATAGTAGAGTATTATCAAGAACTCCGCCATCCAGTTATGAAGCACATCTCAAGCCCATCCCCTGGCCATGGTCGTCCCCAGTCCTTCCACAACATTAAATATGGACATCAATGACGAGAACTTATATTTTTCAGACATGAAATAGAGAACAGTGATGAAAATTTCCATGTTGGAGTTATCGGTCTTTTGCATTATTTTGACACCCAGCAAGTAAATACACACGATGATACTTGAGCAGTAATTTATTTTAACCTAAAATTAAGGTATGCCTGTGTATATCAACATTGTATATGGCCACAAGTCCTGTATTTCTGCTCGTAACTATGCAGACACAACAGCTGGCTGGGAGGCTCGCGCCAACCAGTGACGCAGTCACGTGACTTTTTAGCAACTTTAACCCTTATTTTTTACACTTTTTGGCCCCATTTATTTAAAAATATCATTACCATAGTGACTTTAACCGTTTTATTTACCCATTGACCTGACATCTGACGAAAAAATGCCGACCGTCAACTCGTCCATTGCTTGTCCTGGTTAATTACTCGACACCTGTGATTTTTTAATGTTTATGTGTTGTTCCAAACCTTAGTACAGTATATGTTGATTACGTTCTGTGGTGAAAAAGTTAAAATTTTGGTAATTACCATATAGTACTTGTAACAGTACTTCAAAATTTTTATTAATTTCAACACTAATTAGTTGGCACCTGTTTTTTTTTGTATAGTAGATGAATCCCCCCTAGGTGTCTGTGAGTGTGTGTGTCTGTCTGTTTCAGCCATTGCTCCTAAACAGAAGCAGTTAGTGAACTGAAACTTTACACAAACACATATTACATTGGTCCCAAGATTGGCACCCAAAATCTTCCTTGACTGAGTTATTGCCATGGCAATTGTAGAAGGTCGTTACACAAGTTAGGATTAGCAATCTGACAGTCAAGTTATACAGTATACCCAACCTGAGTACAACTGAGCAATTTTGCTAGTTTTAAATAAAATCTTTTTCTATATTATGGCAATTTTTGGGCAAAAAAATTCTCAAAATTCAAAATTAATGTTTGGGGGAACTAATATATCCAATCTAACAGAAAAATGCAAAAAAAAAATCCATAAAAATTACAGAAACCGAGTAATTAGCATTGTAAAACTAATACAAAAATTTCAAGTCATTTAGCACAAGTTCCAACTCTTTGACACTAGGATTATTTACAGTATACTGTACAGTATTGTGATTTTGAATGAAATAATAATTTTCATGATTGTGGATACCAATTATCTTTTTATGGAATTTCTTTTTGGGTTTTTATGTTATGCTGTTTCTACTAATGTTGTTAAACATGTTAGTTTCCAATTCTCAGAGATTGAGTATTTTCACACACCAAAATTTTCTTTTCATGTTCACAATTGAAAACACAAAACCAATAAACTTATTGTAATTGAATATTTTAATCTTTTAGAAAATGATGGAATAGAGAATGGAAGCAGTGCAGCTGTAGCTAAAACAACGGGAGTACCCATCCCCATTACATCAAACAATGGCTTCAGACTTAACAGCTTAGGCAGCACAACTCACCAGTTCCCTGCCCCTCACGTAACTGTCTACACTAATGGTCATCTACATGGAGCTATTCACCGCTCATACCACAGTGCCCTTAGACCTACTTCCATGAACGGCAGCCCTTTCCATCTGCCTCCCATAGGAGTAGGATTCTATGGGGGTCATCAAGAAGTTCATGTGGGAATAGTGAGGAGCTCCCCATGGCCAGGGTTCCCTTATACTGAAAACAAGTCCAGCCAAACAGGAGAGGACATAGAGAGTGTCCTTGGTGGAGGCATGACCATAGACAGTCTCCTGCAACAATTGAGGGCACTTTCATAATGATATCCAATGGTCAGTATGAATTACCAACTGCATGTTATGATTTTTTTGTACCTGTAAGATATAAAGTACTGTACTGTATATGATACCTTGGTGTAGGGGCAATGCTTCCAGTAAAACTTAAGAATTTTGCTAGAATACTTGCAGCAAGACACAGTTTAATTTTACATACTAAAATATGTTCTAGTTGAGCAGTGTCTGTTAAAGGATTCAATATCTCAAATGGATTCATCAAAAAAGAAACCTTATATAGTTTCAAAGGCAAAAAGAAAACTTTAATTAATTATTAGCTTTAGATATCAACAAAATCAATGGCAAAGTGAGGATTTTACATATCTGTAGATACTACAGTTAACCCTCACTTTACGCGGTTAATGTAACCCGGAGGGTACCGCGGAAAGCGAGAAACGCGTAAAGTGAATAACATAACATATGGGATTAATTGAAATGGAGTCCAGGCCGATCCCCAAACTCTACTTTTTGACGACACATAACTATGTTGTAGTAAAAATAACATCTTAATTTTATGATGGTACATGCACACAATTAATACTTAAGAGAAATAGAGAAATACAGTCGCCAAGTTAATGTCCATTCAAATAATGGACACAACTCCCTCCCCCTCTCACACTACACTGCCGGCTCTTCCCTCTCTGAGAAATTTTGGGGGGAAAACCAGGTATAGTAATAAATTATACCTCAAACTAAAGTTAGGATAATATAATTGACATTGCTGGATTCCTTGTAAGACCAGGAATATTTTGAATATAAATGTCATATATTTTTCACAAAAGATAACATACTTACTCAGATTAAATATTTTATCTAAAAATTTTATGTCTAATGCAAAATATATGATGTTTATATTCAAAATGATCACCAAATTGTAAGAATTCCAGCAATGTAAATTATATTCTGGCCGGGTAATTTGTATGAATTTTATGAGCTAAAACAAATATCTTCAGTTAATAAAAAAAAAAATATTCTTCACGACACTATCTGTCAATCAAAGTACCCCACCTTGCCTCCCCCCCTCTTCCAACCGCGCGGTCAGTCCCAACCCTCCCCCCCACCCCCCACCAATCCTCCCTTCAAGAGATGTTGGGTGAAAAATTTAGATTTTAACATTTTGTATTAAATAATACCTCAGATTAAAGTTAGGATAATATAATTGACATTGCTGGATTCCTTGTAAGACCAGGAATATTTTGAATATAAACGTCATATATTTTGCACAAAAGATAACATACTTACTCAGATTAAACATTTTATCTAAAAATTTTATGTCTAATGCAAAATATATGATGTTTATATTCAAAATGATCACCAAATTGTAAGAATTCCAGCAATGTAAATTATATTCTGGCCGGGTAATTTGTATGAATTTTATGAGCTAAAATAAAAATCTTCAGTTAATAAAAAAAAGAAAAATATTCTTCACACGGTAACAGATGGTCGGTCTCCGGTCCCTCCCTCCGTCCCCCCCATCCCCCACCAACGTCCCTACTAGATAAATGTGTGGGAATACCAGACTGTTTACCTTTTTAGTAATAAATAATAAATGAGACTAAAGTTAGGATAATATAATTGACATTGCTGGATTCCTTGTAAGACCAGGAATATTTTGAATATAAATATCATATATTTTGCACAAAAAATAACATATTTACTCAGAGTAAACATTATATCTAAAATTTGTATGTCTAATGCAAAATCTATGATGTTTATATTCAAAATGATCATCAAATTGTAAGAATTCCAGCAATGAAAATTATATTCTGGCCGGATAATTTGTATGAATTTTATGAGCTAAATTAAAAAAAATTATACTTCACCGTGTAAAGGGGTACACCCACCGCGGAATGTGAGCATCCTGGGTTCTGGCAGGGCACCGCGTAAACGTGGAAACGCGGAATGTGGGACCGCGTAAAGTGAGGGTTGACTGTACTAAATATACATTTTTTTAAAGCTGACAGTACTAGACTAAGAAACTCTTTGGCTCATACATACAGTACAGTACTGTAATATTCAATTTATACTGATATATCACAAATAAATTTTTATATATCTCTTAAGGATACCCAGTAAGGCCAGGCCACTGTAACATCATAAACTTTAGCTCCACCCCGTTTAATGACGTACATCATCTGGCGACCAGATGGTAACGACCTTGCCTTGGTTGACGTTTGATTATTTAATTTTCTTAGAAGACTTGTAAGGCTAAGGCTTTGGCCAGGTATAACAAAATGAATGCCTTATGTTCTCATAGTCCTCCAAAAATAAGCGATATAGAAAAAAAAAAGCAAAATATTTCAGGGAAACACCCAGTGGGGTGCCGAGCATTTCTCTGGTGTCATGGACAAAGCTATTCAATTTTTGAGCTTATTGGCAATGCAAAGATTTTCCTTTTGCAAGACATGGGAAGTTGAATGTCGGAGGATGCTCTGGACAACTAAATATTGCCTTACAATGTATATTTAAGAAAATAGAGCAAGTTTCTCTTGGTGTTAAGCATCACAACCATCGCCGGTGAATTAAGTGATAGAACTCTAGTTTTCTTATATTTTGGGCCATATTATTGTTTTCTTTTATCAGATGTGGCACGAACAATGTCTCATGGTCTTCTGGATGACCTGATATTGACTGACATGCAAAATTAAGAAACTACAAGAAATCTTCCCTCGCGTCTTGAAACAAACACGGTTTTGACACCTCAAAACCACGTACTGATGTACAGTCCTGGTCAAAAGTCCTGTGCCAGGCAGTTTTGGCTAACGTGGTTATGTGACAAGGCCGGAGACACACATGCATGAACACACATAATGGAACTACTGGGCCCATGGCTTAAGCATCGCTCTGTTGCCAGCAATGTCAGGAATAAATCAATGAATACCATTAATAATTATTTCGACCATACAGTAATTGAATAATGAGAACCAATGTATTTGTGAGCACAGATGAAATGCCTCCACACACACACATGCGCCGCACTACACTATCTTTTATAGTGAGTTTTTTCTCAGCTGAGAAGAGATGCTCTGCCCCCTCCTCAAGAGTTACAGCCGATTGGCTGTTGCAAATCTGTCCGATTTCGTCCTGAAGTAATGATGTATTTCTTAATGAGTTTATTCATAATCGTTGGGATGATTGTTTCTCACGAGAAAGATATTTAGCTAAATTATATAAAGATACATACATTCATAATTTCAAACATGAGCACATAGGAAGTTTATCAGAAATATTATACATGAATTAACTGTTAAACTCTGGAAGCAAATTCACACTTTCAGAGGAAGCATTTAATATATACAGTAGTACCCCGATTTACGCGGTCAATTGAACCCACGGGGTACCGCGTAAAACGAGAACTGCGTAAATGGAATAACAGAACATATGGGATTAATTCCAATAGAGACTGGCCCGACTCCTAAACTCCACTTTGTCAGACACAATACCTATGTTGTAGGAAAAATAACATCTTAATTTTATGATGGTATGCACACACAATTAATAATTTAGAGAAATATCAATAATATTAGGTTTTTTAACACTTACATTCGTAGAAAAGATGGCTGGGCACACGGGGAAGGGGGGTTGGTTCTGAGGCAGAGGGCAGATTATTGGCCCTCACCTGTATCACTTGTATCAATTGTATCACTATCCACCACAGAGGCTTGCAGGGCCTCTTTGTCAAACCCCTCAAAGTCCATATAAGTCCATATCCTCACTATCACTATCACTGACTTGGGCCGGCTGTGGTGGGTGGCGGGTGAAGAACTCGGTAATGTTTTGATGACTGGGCGACCTTGTGCGCACCCTGGCCGCGCCACTTCCGCGAATATGAGTAGATGCACCTCGTAAAATGGGAATCCGGTTCTGGCGAGGTACCGCATAAATGTAGAATTGCGTAAACGAGAACCGCGTAAATCGGGGTATTACTGTACTTATTTTTATCCACAATAAGGCATAATAAGACAAATTACATATCAGTACAGTAATACTACATTATGCAAAAACTAACATTTTAAAAGTTCAAAATCACATTGAAATATTGACGGCTGTCAGCTGAGGCGGGAAATATGACTGTGAATAACTTTCATATTTCCTGCCTCTGCTGACGGCTGAGCGGCCAAGCTCCCCAGTCTGTCACACTCGTCCACCAACTTTCAGAGGCCGTGTAATATTTCAATGTGATTCTGAGCTTTTAAAATGTTAGTTTTTGCTTAATGTATTTTTACTGATATGTAATTTGTCTTAGTATGCCTTATTGTATAGGCAGATACCAAACAGGGTATTACCGCCTGGGAAGATATTGGAAACATAATGTGTTGTCTAATAGTAGACCCTGCTGCCAAATGAGTCCCAGGTTGCTGATCTGACTTTCTGCCTCAGTTACACACAATTGCAGGGTCTCAATTGTTTCTCTTACTTTGACAACACAACATACATATACTGTTTCTCACTCTTGGTCTTTTTTTTTTGTATGTCTTTATTATTATTATTATTATTATTATTATTATTATTATTATTATTATTATTATTATTATTATTACTGTATTATTATTATTATTATTATTATTATTATTATAATTATTATTATTAGTACAGGTACTCCTCGACTTATGACAACCTGGACATACGACCGCCGTGCTCGTATAAAATATTTTTCAAATTACGTATTTTCTAGTACCAAAACGTTTCGGCCCCGTACGACAGTGTGGGCTGGGCCGCCTCGTGGTGTACAGCATCCACTCCGTAGCTCACTCAGTTGGTGTTTGGCCGTCGTTGTTGTCATTAGTGATCGCACTGTTTACTGACAAAACTTTCGTTTCTAATTCCCTTTAAAATGACTGGCAAGCTCAAAAGTGAGAGTTCTCGTGGTGCTGAGAAGAAAAAGAGACAGTCAATTACTTTTGGGATGAAAATGAAAATAATAATGCAATATGAAAATGGAAAAACGGTATCAACCATTTCACACCACCTTGGCTTCTCTCACTTGACGATATCAACAATTTTGAAGAACAAGGAACGAATTCGTGAGGTAGTGAAAGGATCAGCACCTATAAAGGGAACAATAATAACGAAAAAAAGAAAAGGTCCTCTTCATGAGATGGAAAAATTACTTGTGATGTGGATGGAAGATCAGCTGCAAAAGCGTGATCCTTAAGCCTTCTAACCATACAAGCTAAGGCAAGAAGCCTTTTCGAAAGCCTGAAAGAGCAGGCAGGAGAGGAGTGCGACCAAAACGTCACAGCAAGTCATGGATGGTTCCAAAGTTTTAAGAACATTTACAGTTTGCACAGTGTAAAGGTGAGTAGAGAGGCAGCAAGTGCTGATGTGGGTGCTGACGAAGCTTTTAAGGAGGAGCTAGATCGTGTCATCATGGAGGGAAATTATTTGCCTGAGCAAATATTTAATGTGGATGAAACTGGCTTATTCTGGAAGCACATGCCAGAACGGACATACATCCCAAAGAGGCGAAAATCATGCCGGGATTCAAGGCATTCAAGGACCGAATCACACTTCTGTTGGCGGGAGTAAATGGTTTCAAGGTAAAACCCTTCATGATATATTATTCAGAGAACCCAAGGGCTTTTAAAAATGTCAGCAAGCGCACACTGCCAGTGTTTTATCATAGTAATAAGAAAGCATGGATGACCCTAGTACTGTTTGAGGATTGGTTCCTGAGTTGTTTCATTCCACGAGCCAAGGAGTATTGCTGGAATTCTTATAAGACTGTGGTTATTTGAAATATAAACATCATAAAATTTGCATGAGACACACAAATTTTAGATCTAATGTAAGAATTTTGATAAGAAAGGGCAAAAATTTTATCTTTTGTGCAAAATATATGACGTTTATATTCAAAATATTCCTTGTCTTGCAAGGAATCCAGCAATGTCAATTATATTATCCTAACTTTAGTCTGAGGTATTATTTACTACAGCTAGCCCCCGACTTACGACGGGGTTAGGGACCCAAATCCAGGTCGTAAGTCCGAATGGTCGTAAGTCCGAATGGTCGTAAGTCCGACATAGATTAAAAAAAATCTACAATGAAATACAGTACAGTAAAAGTAATAAATAATGAGGAATGGATACAGTACAGTGAAAGTAATAAATAATGAGGAATGGATACAGTGTGACTGAGCACTTACCTTTAATGTAGTCAGCTGAATGCACATGGGGCCCCCATAATTTTCTAATTATACATGGAGACTACATTAACTGGAAACGTTTCAGTATAGAAAATGCGTGTCATTTTGAAAAAAAAAAAAAAAAAATTGAAAAAAAAATGGTCACAACTGCGGCAGTCGTAAGTCCCGACGGTCGTAAGTCGAAGCAGTCGTAAGTCGGGGTCTAGCTGTACTAATAACGTAAGCCTACTGTTTTCGCCCAAACATTTTTCTGGTAGGGAGGGAAGGTGGGGGGTAGGGAGGGGCAGGGGGACCCAGCGAGTGTGGGAAGAGGGGGGAGCGGGAGGTGGGGTATTTTGATTGACAGATAGTGTCTGGATGAAGTATAATTTGTTTATTTTCTGAAGATATTTGTTTTAGCTCATAAAAATCATACAAATTACCCGGCCAGAATATAATTTACATTGCTGGAATTCTTATAAGATTGTGATTATTTTAAATATAAACATCATAAAATTTGCATTAGACATACAAATTTTAGATCTAATTTAAGAATTTTGATTAGAAAGAGCAAAAATTTTATCTTTTGTGCAAAATATATGACGTTTATATTCAAAATATTCCTTGTCTTGCAAGGAATCCAGCAATGTCAATTATATTATCCTAACTTTAGTTTGAGGTATTATTTATGACTAAAAATGTAAGCCTACTGTTTTCACCCAAACATTTCTCAGAGAGGGAGGAGCCAGCAAGCATGGGAAGAGAGGGTGGGGGGGGGAGTTGTCCATTATTTGAATGGACATTAACCGGCGACTGTATTTCTCTTAAATATTAATTGTGTGTGCATACCATCATAAAATTAAGATGTTATTTTTACTTCAACATAGGTATTGTGTCGGAAAAAGTGGAGTTTGGGGGTCGGCCCAGTCTCTATTTCAATTAATCCCATATGTTCTGTTATTTCATTTACGCGTTTCTCGTTTTACGCGGGCCTCCACAGGTTCAATTGACCGCGTAAATGCAGACTCCACTATACATGTATTTTAATTGCCGCTCAGCTTAGTGGCACTTCAGCCAAGCGCACTACATCCTCAAAACGTATGTCTCAAACGACACCTTTACGTGTTTACGCTTGAATGTACTCTTTCTGAAATGGTAATTATTATCCGTTGCTTTATATGTTTGGTGTCTTGATACACATAATAATTAGTGAAAAGAGAAGAAGTAGTGGTAAATGTGATTTCCGGAAGTATGAATTGTTTGTGACTTCGATGGTAAATTATCTTTATTTCAAACACTTTTTCACTCATATTCTGAAAGTTAATGTTTTCAAGCAGCTACCGTATATCTTTACATACATTAAATTTGGCATTCAAGTGAGCCAGAACTAGGTATCCTTAACAGTTATATATGGATATATTTCTGATACACAGTATCAATATTAATTGAAAATTATGTATGAGCCAAAGAGCTGCAAGATGGTGGGACTTTTACAACAGCTTAAAAAAAAAGACTACAGTATAGTGAAGACCCGTTCCAATCTCATTAGGGGTCCAGAAATACTTAAAATTCCACCTTTCTATAATAAATAGCAGTATAATAAATAGCAGTATCCTACTAAGAATACAGGATGCAGAGGTGAAGCGATTGGAAAAATCATTGGAATATTGAAAAGAAAAGTCATCTTGTTCTAAACAAGGACTCCATACACACACACACACACACACACACACTATTTTATTCCATATACACAAGCAGAATTTAACCTTTTGCTTGAGGTATGTTACTGTAGTAATTTTGCAATGTATGAAATATGCACAAGCAGGAGCTATAATCAAGCTGTCTTGAAAATTTTGTTGGAGAAAGACTATTATGTCTCGATATTCTTTTTCAGAAATTTATCTTTTGACAGACTGTAAAGAATGGAAATTATATACTGTATTGTATACAGTATAATACAGGTAACACTATTTTCTATGAATCCTTATGTCAAAATGTTGATAAGCTTATATGTGAAGGACTGAAGTGTAAAATTTCAATTTCTTACCTAAAGAAAGTTTAGTGATCTGCCAAAGAGCTTGACAGGTTTAGTGATCTGCCAAAGAGCTTGACAGGTTTAGTGATCTGCCAAAGAGCTTGACAGGTTTAGTGATCTGCCAAAGAGCTTGACAGGTTTAGTGGTTTGCCAAAGAGCTTGACAGGTTTAGTGATCTGCCAAAGAGCTTGACAGGTTTAGTGATCTGCCAAAGAGCTTGACATGTTTAGTGATCTGCCAAAGAGCTTGACAGGTTTAGTGATCTGCCAAAGAGATTGACAGGTTTAGTGATCTGCCAAAGAGCTTGACATGTTTAGAGATCTGCCAAAGAGCTTGGCAGGTTTAGTGATCTGCCAAAGAGCTTGAATGGCTTAGTGATCTGCCAGAGAGCTCAACAGGTTTAGTGCATTCCAATTCCTATAAAAGATATTTGAAGTATAATTGCAGGAGGGCATAAGCTTTCCTGGGGTGATCCAGTTACTGTACAGTCCCCTTCGCTAGTGCGCTTACAGGGGTTCGTCATATAAACATTCCACAAATAATTACTGTACATTGAGATAGTTGTTTTAATATTGTTTTACTTTGATTTCATAATATGTTTACTATTGCTGGTTTCCTTCTGTTGAATGTAAACAAACACAGGTCTGCCACACTGCAGCACAAAACCTGATGAGCCCCTGTAAATGCACTAATGAAGGGGACTGTACATACTCCCCAGTAATAAAACACATGGAATCACAATGTTGAAAGAAACAAACAATATCGCTAATCTAATACTGTACAGTATTAAAATTATTTCAAACATAAATCATAACAAACTGTCTATACCGGTAATAATAATTACAGTAGGATCTCAAGTTTAGCAAGTTTTAAAATTGCGATTCATATGTTTCTCATCACCTTTAAAATTTCTAGCTTCTCAAGAATAGCGATTTTCATTACTGGTTTCGCAAATCAACGGAGAGTGGGCAGCGCGCATTGTCACGGTCCTTTGTTATCCACTGTGCTTTTTGTTTACAGCAGTTAGTTTGAATGAGTGAGAGCAAGTGGTGCAATGACCTTGGATTATATAACCCACTGTGCTTTTTGCGAGATTCTTGTGTAACTATTAATGATCCTTGTGTATTAATGAATGTGTATTAATGAGTCTTGTGTATTAACGATTCTTGTATATTAACGATGAATGAGGTGCGTAATGTAAATTTCGGGAGCGGTTCTGGTAGTAATGATGGCCATAGAGAAGGTCAACAAGGAAAGCCATACGTGACTACCATAAGGGGGTCAAGAAGAGGAAATACACCCTTGAAATGAAACAAGAGATTCTTGAGATGATAAAAAATGGTGCTAGTACCTGTGAAATCATGAGTAGGTTCAACTGCCCCAAATCAACCATACGTTCCCTAAAAAAAAAAACCAAGGAACCTTAACAGCTTCTGTGAATGTTTTCTCAATATTTTATAGTAACAGGACGATACTTCACAACGAAACTTACTGCTCGTTATCACAGAACATTACCTTCACAAGTGGGTGGAAGAAAGAAACCGTGAGCGGGTGACCTGTCTGGGCCACAGATAAGGCATCAAGCACGTGTTTATTACGCTGCGGTTGCACAAAAGAAACACATTTACTCTCCACCACTGTTCAATGCTTCTGTTGGTTGGTTGGCTGCTTTTAAGAAGCGTTATGAAGTCAAGTTTCCCCACTACCATGGATCATCTGCTGATGTCATAGCAGCTCTTGTGAAAGAGTGTGGTTATTGCCAAGACCAGATCTTCAATTGTGACAAAACTGGCATTTTCTGGAAGTGCTCTCCTAAGAACACTTTCATTGCCAGGGATGAAAAACAGGCAAGGGGTGTAAAGAATTCAAAGGACAGGATTACAGTTTTATTCACAGTTAATGCAATTGGAGATTTCTTAATGAAACCCCTGGTTTTTAACCATGCTGCCCGTCCTAGAGCCTATCGTCATGCCAATATGTCGCAGTTCAATGTTTATGGGACGTCTAAGAAAAAAGCTTGTGTTACAATGTCTTTATGCACTGATTGGTTTGACAAGCACTTTCTTCCTGATACTACGTTAAACTGTTCTACTAGCTATCAGTCACTCTATAAAGACTTCCGTCAGCAGGCAGACTCATTAGTTAAGCTACAACAAATCGAGGCAGAACTTCCTGACAGTGACCAGGCTCTACCAGCACCAGCTAACCAGGAGGAGGAGATGGTCGACGACCCAACTCCTAGCACCTCACATGCACCATCCCACAACTGTGAAGTGTTACCAGTTTGTAAATTTTGGAAAAAATATAATATTAAAAATACAGTGGACAGAATTGTTGAGACATGGCGAAAGATTAATTTCGCAACAATGCTACAAACATGGAAGCCTTTGTTCGTTAACTTCGAGGTAAGTGGGGTAGAGCAAACCGAGGCAAGTGGGGAGAGGCAGTCAGTGGCAGCAACACTAATGGACACAGTGGAGGCAGTTCGCTCAGTCCCAGCACTGGGATTTTCAGATGTTCAGGTTGAAGATTTGCAAGAAATCATTGGTCAACATCAGCAGCAAACAACAATTAAAGAAATGTTGGAGGAGGATGAAGAACAAGAAGAAAAGCAACCAACACAAGAGGATGATGTTAAGCCTGGTGAACCTACAACACTCCAGCTGACTGAGATGCTCACAACCTTCGCACGTTTCACTGAACAGCTTGAAGAACACGATACCAGGCCTCATGCGCAGAACCATATCTGCCCTGTCACTGAAAAGGTTATAGAGGAATATAAGGCCATGTAGATGTCCCGTGTTAATGCTCATCAGCAGGCCCTTATTACTTGGTACCTGCACAAGGCCCAGCCTGTTATTAATGCCTTGGCAAACATCACTTGGAGATGATGATGGCACCACCGATGATGATATTGAAGTGTTGGGTGACTTACTGGTGGAAGAGCTACCTCAAGACTTTGAGGGATTTGATGCTGAGGTTAGAGGAGGTGTAGAGGTGGGAGCAGTGAGGAAGCAGTAACCAGCCCTCCCTGCCTCAGAACCCATCAACCAACACCATCAATCATTTCACTGATTCCATCAAGGTAAGTTATTGTACAGTATGAGTGTACAATATATATATGTACGAATGCACTAGAGGCTTATTTACATGTATTTCAATGTCACTAATTTTGCGATTTCAAATTTTGCAACACTAAAACCAGTTCCAATTACTCGTGAAACTTGAGATCCTACTGTATACAGTAATAATAAAAAATCAACTATACAACTTTTTCTAATAACAATTATGAGGCAACCTTGTTATTTATCTGCAATAATAATACAAATTATTGGTCTTTACATCATTTTTATATTGAAGATTATCAATTACAGGTTGGGTATCCCTTTTCCGAAATTCCCACGTCCAAAATGCTCTGAAATCCGAAAGTCTTATTTCATTATATTTATGGTAGATAATACACTCAATATGGCATATACCATAACTTTGACTAGGGTAAGTGTAATGTGTATGCATAATGTGTATGTGTAATGAATAAAGGTAAGACACAGGCTGCTTAGTGCTTCAGAGTCAGGCATCATGGCGATGCCAAACAGACCGTAGTAATTGCTTACCTTTCTGGGTCTTTTGTGTACATCTTATCATATATTTTATACCCATAATTATTCAATTATATTTCATAAAACTACCTGCAGAATATTATGTATCCATATACTGTAAATGAAAAATAAATGAATTTTGTGCATAGTCTTGGGCCCCATCCCTGCTGGGTTGAGCTACCGCATGATACAGGAGCTGTATACAGGATATAGGTATTCCAAAATCCGAAAATATCCCAAATCCGAGACCCTTGAGGCCCCAAGCATTTCGGATATAGGATACCCAACCTGTAGAAATTATGAAACTGAATGTTCGAATTTTAATAAGTGGTCCTAAGAAAGATGCACCGAGTACTTTCAAGTGTTAAATACGCCTCTGACCACAATCATAATGAAAATATCATTTTGAAAAAGAACAATGATTTTTATATAATTAGCTTGTTTGTTTCTTACTTTATGATCTGATGTCTTTCATTGAAGTAAATCCACAAGTCCACAGTGTGATGTCTCTCCCAAACCTAGGACTGGCTTATTAAATAATTATGACCTGACAGGCTGACCCAAGATATTAATTATCTACACTAATATATCAGTGCTTGTGACTAGAAGCAAGCTGACCCCCAACCACACTGTGTCAGGGTTTAGGGGATGTTGGTAAGACTTTCTTTTATTCTTTTTGTCTCTTTAATGATGATCTCAGTGACAAGGTGCCCTGACATGCCAATAACCTTAAAAAGCAGACATAGGCATTTTTTTTGCACACACACACAGTCCACATTAAAAGGTCTTATTTGAGATAAGGGCCACAGAGTGATTTTAAAAAGGGAATCAATTTCTAACCTAATCAACAAATTAATAGATTTAGATTTCAGATACACAGTACTGTACTACTTTTAAATGTAGGCACCTACATCAGTACAGTACACATTATATAGAAATCACTCATATATTACAAAACATTCAAGAGGTTTAATACAGAATTACCATTAAAAACTACTAATGGAAAACACCCAACTGATGAACATTACAGACCCAACTGATGAACATAAACCACCCAACTGATGAACATTAAACACCCAACTGATGAACATTACAGACCCAACTGATGAACATTACACACCCAACTGATGAACATTACACACCCAACTGATGAACATAAACCACCCAACTGATGAACATTTCACACCCAACTGATGAACATAAAACACCCAACTGATGAACATTTCACACCCAACTGATGAACATTAAACACCCATCTGATGAACATTACACACCCAACTGATGAACATTACACACCCAACTGATGAACATAAAACACCCAACTGATGAACATTAAACACCCAACTGATGAACATAAAACACCCAACTGATGAACATAAAACACCCAACTGATGAACATAAAACACCCAACTGATGAACATTAAACACCCATCTGATGAACATTACAGACCCAACTGATGAACATAAACCACCCAACTGATGAACATTACACACCCAACTGATGAACATTACCCACCCAACTGATGAACATTACACACCCATCTGATGAACATTAAACACCCAACTGATGAACATTTCACACCCAACTGATGAACATTTCACACCCAACTGATGAACATTAAACACCCATCTGATGAACATTAAACACCCAACTGATGAACATTAAACACCCATCTGATGAACATTTCACACCCAACTGATGAACATTTCACACCCAACTGATGAACATTAAACACCCATCTGATGAACATTAAACACCCATCTGATGAACATTACAGACCCAACTGATGAACATAAACCACCCAACTGATGAACATTACACACCCAACTAATGAACATTACCCACCCAACTGATGAACATTACACATCCATCTGATGAACATTAAACACCCAGTGATGAACATTACACACCCAACTGATGAACATTACACACCCAACTGATGAACATTACACACCCAACTGATGAACATTACACACCCAACTGATGAACATTACACGATGAACATGATGAACATTACACACCCAAATGATGAACATTAAACACCCAACTGATGAACATTACACCCCAACTGATGAACATTACACCCCCAACTGATGAACATTACACCCAACTGATGAACATTACACACCCAACTGATGAACATTACACACCCAACTGATGAACATTACACACCCAACTGATGAACATTAAACACCCAACTGATGAACATTACCCACCCAACTGATGAACATTACCCACCCAACTGATGAACATTAAACACCCAACTGATGAACATTACCCACCCAACTGATGAACATTACCCACCCAACTGATGAACATTAAACACCCAACTGATGAACATAAACCACCCAACTGATGAACATAAAACACCCAACTGATGAACATAAACCACCCAACTGATGAACATAAAACACCCAACTGATGAACATAAACCACCCAACTGATGAACATTTCACACCCAACTGATGAACATTTCACACCCAACTGATGAACATAAAACACCCAACTGATGAACACAAACCACCCAACTGATGAACATTAAACACCCAACTGATGAACATAAAACACCCAACTAATGAACATAAACCACCCAACTGATGAACATAAACCACCCAACTGATAAATATAAGTGTTTTACCTACCGCTGTAAATATCATACAATAATGTACCTCTCTTTCCAGCCCATCAATTATTGGTCCAAAGAATCGTGCACAACTAGATCGACTCTTCACATAAAATGATTCACTTCTACAATGAATCACTATGCTCGTTCCACATCCAGGACTTCTTTACCACACTGCTTGGTGGCCTACCATCACATGCCAAAGACTTCCTTTATATGATGGCATTTATAAATATAATACAGTTTGCACCCAAATAAGCCATTATGTATCCAGTGAAGAATTTTTCTAAGATTTGTATCAGTTCTTAATGATTTACTATACAGGTATCCCTCGATATACGAATGGGTTAGGTAAAAAGAATTCGTTAAGTGTATTTTCATATCTCAAATAACAATAAATGGGTAAAATAGGGTTCGGTTCCTCAATGATAAAAGCACCCCAATATTATACCCAAAAACACAAAATCGGTTCACAAAAAAAACCCTACTAAACTAAAGATAAATAGTACACAACTACTGTAATTTACTACCTAACACATTAAAAAACATTAATAAAATACTGTACTATCTAGAAGAAAATATGAAACTAAAACTATTAAGTTAGAAATAAATCAATGTTTAACATAATCGTCAGGGGTGCCACTTGCATAGACACTGGCTGCTTCATGCATGGCCGCCCTCAAGCGTCGCCACAGCAACTCAGCCCGGCCACCTCTGCCACCCTTAACAACACTTTCCCCGCTCTCACACGCAAAGCAATGTTTATTCCCTTATTTTTTTGACCTTATGATAGTTATTTCTTTTACTTTTTTTGCACATTATGTATGTTGGATTGTGTGTGCATGTAACCGAGTTAAAAAAAGAAGTTAAGAAAGTTAAGTTTATCTATCCAAAACTACAAGTTGAAAAATAAACATAACATAATTCCCCCAGCTCATCCTGCTAACTATCCCTGGTGCAAAAATTAAAAAAATTTTCCTTTTATGTTTTTGACATTATAATTTTTTTTTGCACATTCTGTATGCAGGATTGTGTGTGCATGTAACTAAATGGAAAACAAAACTGAAGTTATGTTTATGGTTTATGCCCAAAATTATGAGTTGAAAAATAATCACAACATAACTCCTACCTCAGCCCGGTAAGGGGAGCACTAGGGGGATGTGGATGCCCCAGCTGACTCCTGGGGGAACACGATTTTAATTTTTGTAATTTAGGAAATTTGCATTAGCGAATTTTCATATCGAACATTCATATAGTGATGGATACCTGTACTCATGCTTTCTGCTCAAGTGCAATACATTTGTTATATGTATTGCAAAACAAGTTCTTGTGTGGGTGAGACTGAAGATTTGTAAATATTATTCAAATGAGACCGATGTCATTAAAATCCTCAGTGCTACCTACAAATTTGCTTTTGTTATTCTACTGTAACATCTGGGCATTTTCCATGCAGGAGGTAACACAAAGACTTACACAGCCATCTAGTCTTCATGACTTTAGTATTTAAGCACTGTACAATAACTTTTACTATGCCCACACTATGTTTAAAACTAATCATGTAAAATGTTCTTGCTTCTGTCATTTTTGGCAATTTTTCTATTGCATTAATATTATTATGAGTACTGTAATTCATATTCATATTTAAAGAATATTGACGATAATGACTTTTTTAAACTCCCAGTCTTTCATTATATAGATTGTGATGTGACAATTATGCATACTCAGAAAATAAAATATCTGAGAAAGAAACTGTGCTTTGTATATTTCCCCAATATTTAAGACAAAATTCCATTGTTATATGAAATATTAGTTTTCACACAAATTTAGGTTTTATTTCTTTATAAGAACTGTAAGTGTCAGAGGGTCAGACACCAACCTCACACATTTATGCTTGTACATTCTATAAAATTTCCATTAGCCAGTATTTTACAACCATTAAAATTTTTTCTTCACTGCTGTCATTGCTATCACTATTACCATTCCTCTTAACTTTAGCACTCTTACTATAATCGTAATGATCAATATTGCTATTTCATTATATGCCTGACCTGGTAATACCTTAAAATTTTAGTGAGTAAAAAAAAAATTATTTTGTTCCAAATCTCAATACTGTATAGGCAATGTACTCAACATACTAATTAAGGATTTAGGTTAAATAATTTGAAATTCATCTTAATTTAAGACCCTTAAAATATTTTCACCATTTTTTTTTAAATTGCTTAAAAATATAGCTCTAAATCAATAACTTCTCACGTATTTAATTTTTAGTGGGCGATATTCATCCGGCACCCAGCCACGAGTCCTACATTATTCAGCCATCACTCACCTACAGGCACCTCTGTTCTCAAGGCACTCAAGGAAATAACACAAAGTTATTATGAAATAGATGTATGAATAGTAACTGAACTTTGGCCTAATGAAGTACAGTACTGTACATCAATTTCAACAATCAATTAAATATATACATGTGTAATGTTAATCATAAATAAAAAGTTACACCTGCAAACTGTGCAGAACCAATAAATGGATTACACAGGCTGTAAGATTGTTGGCAGCAGCTCAATAATGGGTAATGAGTATGGAAGGTGGGTACACAAGAGTTGTATTGGAATAGATGGCAGACTGCAGGATGTTACTGACTTTGTGTTCTATATGTGCAGGTCAGGTAACCAAGTGGCCTGAGCAAAGCTGGAGAAACACAACATTAGGGATATTTCCCAGGAATGTGTTAATGTATTCTGTTACCTGGGTGACATGATCAGTGCTAATGAGGGTGCTGAAGCCAGCCCAGTTGCAAAATTCAAAAGTGGTTGAAGGAAGTTTATGGCTGCCTTTTATTAATTGCAAGAGGACATTCCCTTCATGTGAAAGAAAAGATGTATGTAGCTGGTGTGAAGTGTGAAATTGTATGGCAATTAAAGATGATGACATAAGCAGACTTGTGGTTGCTGAAGTGAGAATGTGTAATGTAAGACTGAAAGATAAGAGGCTCTGTTTAGAGCTAAGAGGGTGACTGGGTAATGAGAGTATTGGCAGACTGAGATGGTTTGAGCATGTGGAGAATGAATAGGCCAATTGGGTCAGGTGTACGAGCCTAGATGTGGAGGGGAGGAAAGTCATGGGTAGGCACCTATATAATTTGTCCACCTCCTATGACAACTCACATCACCTAAACTGCTCCTACCCAAGAAGATGAAGAGAGGTAAAGTACTATTTAACATTAGACATTACAAAGGTCATTAAAGAAACAAATACTTTACAGAATATATTACAACATATATAAAGCTTTACATGGCCTACATAAGACATACAATTAACACTTGATTATACCAAAGTATTAATTAACACTCCACTACAAAAATACTGTTGTGTTATCTCACCTTTAGAACATTGTCTAAAGGTACTATGTACAATCAGCTGACAACCAATAGTGCTCTTACAATCAATCATACAAGACTGCACATAAATAAATATGCTTGACATTCTGATTAATAATAAGTGAAATTATTTTAATATTGTCTTCAGGGTGTGCTAGGTATGAGGTGCACACCCAGAAAAAGTCATGAAACAATGATTTAATTACTGTATTTGGTTTAATTCAAATAAATATTCACAGCATTATACATGTAATAACACAGTGTTAACCAAAGTTTTTTGGGGGCTCTTCTTTCCGCTGCTACAAAATGCTGTTACAGTGAAGAGATATCACTGCACACTTTGGGGTTGGAAGGATAGGGGAAGGTCTGAGGCAGGGGGGAGGGGGGGTGGGGAAGCAGCAAAGGGGGGAGGGAAATAACAAACTAAAGCTTGCAGCCACTCAGTAGCACACTGCCCATTGTGGAGAGGGTCGTTCCATTCTTTTTTATCCATTTACTGTGATGGTGTTTTTGTGCTCTACTTTATATAGTCAGTAATTAAATCTCACTGCAGATGTAATTTTAGATGTATTAAAATTAATTTTACCCTTCTTACACAATGGGAAATGCTGTTGAAGCTATATTAAGTACACCTTTTTTTCAATCAGAACCTATGAGGATAAGCTAAAAGTTGTGAAGGATGGTAAACTTCGTTGTCCTCTCCCAAATTTACTTTCTATTCAAAGAAAAAAATTCTGACTATACAAAACATTTCTCCATTTCACATTAAGAAACAGCAGAATGGCTGACTGGTTGTGAAATTCGATCTAAGCTTTACTGTTGGTCAAGTTTACTGTTTTCCAAAGAGTGTGGTGTGTGGAATAACATAGCTATTCTTATCTCAATCATTTATCAGTAGCTCAGCAGAAACATGAAAGATCTCAATTACAAGTTCAGTCTTTCTTTGCTCTGAAAATATTTGGTAAACAGAGAATTGACAGAAACTGGAAAGCTGAAATATGCTGACACAATGAATGGGTGAAAAAGGATAGAGTAATTCTGAAACAAATTATTGATGCAGTATGTTATCTAACGAGACAAGAGCTTCCACTGACAGGTCACGATGAATCTAGTATTTCAGCAAATAGAAGTAATCATACAGAGTTACTGAATTTACTTCAACTTTATAATTCTCTTTTAGATACTCACTTATGTAGATCAACTGTGTTTCAAGGAACTTCACCAACTGTGCAAATTGATATCATCCAAGCAATATCTAATGCTGTTAGATTATATAAAAAGGGAGGTAAATTCAGCAACATTCATTGCTATTATACCTTGATGAAACTTCATATGTAATACCAAAATCACAGCTCTCTACAGTTTTGTGTTTTGTTCATGGTAGTAAAGTACATGAAAGATTTATTGGATTTACATATATGAGTGCTGACAGAACCTCTGATGGTGTATTCAGATACATAGTTAATATAGCTCAAGAATTCCAGATTCAATACAAATTGGTTGGGCAGACCTATGATGGAGCAAGTATGAGTGGACATGTAAGTGGCTTGCAGAGCAAAGTTCTTAATGACTATCCTCTGGCCCTTTTTACACACTGCTATGTGTGCATGTTGAATTTCGTTTTGCAGCAAGGCCTTTCCAACATCACGGAGTGTAGATTTTTTCCAAAATTTAAATGGATTAGCTACATATTTTTTAAGTCTTCTAAAGAGTTCATACTCTACTTGAATTTTTAGTAAAAAGCTGCCGTCTGTAGCTTCTACTAGATGGAATTTTACATCCTGTTTAAGCAACACAGTACTGTATAGAAATACAGAATTCAGTTTATTGAATTATTCCAGCATGTCATTGAAAATTCTGGAAATTGGGACACTGATGCCACTGTGAAAGCATGAGGATTTTTTTATTTTTCTGTAAAATTTTCAAACAATTTGTTCCTTGAAAATTTTTCAAAACGGTTTGGCTATATTACAAAGCAAAACCTATGATGTATTATACTGTTGTAAGAAAATAAATGATGTTTCACAACAGCTTAAATACAACAGAGAATATGGATTTGAAATTATATAATGATCAAAAGTCTAAAAGGCCAAGAAGTCTAGCAGAGGACAGTACCGTATATGCATGCAGATTGAGTGTAGATATTCTTCACTTTCTAAACTAGATTTTTTTTTTTACCTTCTTTGGGATAAAAAATGCGAGCAGTACAGAGTGACATTTCCAAATAACTTGATAAACAAATTAAAAGATTTTTATGTTTCACTTTTTTATTACAGTATACAGGTAGTTCTGCTATAACGTGATAATTGTGTTCTTGTAAAATATCATGTTATAGAAAATCGCGTAATAGAAATAACAGGGCTTATGGAGAAAATAGGGTTAGGTGCAGATTACTCGAAATCGAAAAAATTTAGTAGTTAGCCTAACACAAAGGATAGCACAGTCTAAATAAATGTTACATTCATATCTAATAATGAAATCATACAGTAAATGTAACACTTTACCTTGAAAAAATATGAATGTAACTTGATGGGGGAGAAGGGTGATTTTGAGGTTGATAACATCGAGCTTCTCTTCAAGTGTTATATCCTTTCTTTTACGATCATCACCGGGAATTCTATCACCAGAACGCTTCTTGGAGATATTCTTCTTTACCATATTCACAATTAATACCACAAAATTGGAGAAATAGTAAGCAAAAATCGCGTTATAGCAAACAAGCGTTCGCGTTATACAAATATCGTTCCTAATTCATAAATCGCGTTAGAGCAAATTCGCGTTATCAAAACACGCGTTATAGCAGAACTCACTATACTATATTTGCTTGAAAAATGAACTAACAGTGTTCTAAATTTCCACAAAAACACATCCATGAATTAGTAGAGTTCATGTTAGAAAACAGTCTCATGTCTGGTTTCAAAGTACAGGCATCCATCGTTGAGCGATCGTTAAGTTAGTGATATTTGGGTTTAATGATTTAAATTTTTAAACACCCTTTGTTATTTAATGATCTGCAATTTTTGGTTTAGTGATCTTAGCCTCACTGGGAAAAATTTGGGAAGGAAGTCGGAAAAACTGGGGATTCTGTGCTCTAAGTGCACATCATTACAATACTATAATGTGGGTTAGAAATAAAGAAAATACTGTATTGTATAATGTATACACTACAGTATAGTACAGTATTTTATAGTATACAGAGTATACAATATACTGTACTATAAAACTATAAAATGTGAAGAACATGGGTACGGTATATACAGTATATGTGGGAAGCGAAAGTCTGTATTGAGGCAGTGACTGGCCAGCCGCACTCTCTCTCCCCTTATGAGACATCACAGCATACAGGCGATGAACTGTGTCATGTGTATACTGTACCAATAAATGTCAGGAATAAATAATAATAATAAGTAAAAGGAAAAATTCTGCGTTGGCATTTGACAATCATTTCACAGGACACGAAACAGAGAACAGCTGTGAAATCCCCCATGTCGTTCCTCACTCTCCCTACCCTGCTCTGTTGTCTAACTGCCAACCACATAAGAACTGTTTATTCCTTTTATGTTTTTGACCTTATGATAATTATTGTTTTATTTTGTTTGCACATTCTGTATGAACGAATGTGTGTGCATTTATAACAAATAAAAAAGTAAAAAAATTACATGTATCTACCTGAAATTACGAGTTGAACAATAACATAGCTCGCAGCTCAGCCTCACCCGCCGCTCTGAGTGCTACTGGGTGGTGAGTCAACCAGTTGGTGACTTGGCTACACAATTACGTGCCATCTTCACGGATATTATTCCTTGTTATCCCTTGTTTAAGATATTATTTCTCATTTCTGTTCACTTAGCTATCATTTCACTTAGTTAGCTGGTTTTCTGGAATGCATCCTGATCGCTGAACGATGGATATCAGTAGTATTTAAACTGGGTGGACTGATCTTAACTATACCAAATAACACTGCTGTAACAGAATGCTCCTTTTCCATGCTAAAGCAAATAAATACTGGTTATTGTATAACAAAAGGTCAAGATAAATTCAGTGGTCTCAGTTTATCTTCAATTGAGAAAAATATTCTTATGGAATTAAGATAGAGAGGTTCCTTTTATGATGAAGTTATAGAGTAGTTTACATCACAAAAACAAAAAAAATAGAATAAATGTATAAATAAAATATTCTAGTGTTTAAAGTTTACACTGCCAATCCACTGCTACACATTTTTTTTATTTTACACAAGTGTGTGCTTACTGTGCTATTTATATACATATTATACAATCATTTCCAAGTACATTAAGTTATGCCATTTATTATAAAGAGCTTATGTTTAGCACACCTTGTTGTAATACAGTACCCACCATATGCCACTGCTGTCTTCTGCATAAAAGTAAAAAAATGTGTATTTGACATCCTAAAATAAACATTCAAGTAGGCAGCATGAAGGCAGAATAATGAAATATTTGTAGTGTTTCATAAAGACAGTATGGTCATCATCTCGTGACTTGAGTGGGTGCCGTGGGGCATGAGGGCATCAAATTAGCTCAGAAACCACAACACATTTCTTATCAATATCCTGTGTTAAAGTGATAATATGTATCAACTTTTGCAACACAGGTTAAAATTGCATAAATAGATTGATTTTATAGCTGAATCAGGAGGCAAGGGTGGTGTCAAAAGGCACTCCATAATTATCACATGGTTATTAAAAATCTACATTGCTACCCTCCACATCCTCCACATCCACCACATCCACCACAACCCCCACCATCACCCCCACCATCACCCCCACCATCACCCCCACCATCACCTCCTACATCACCCCCTCCACCATCAACACCTGCAACTGATGCAAGCATACAAACAAATGGATCCATTCCTCCATCACCATCTCCAACACCACCCCCACTTACCCCTACTCCACCACCTTCACCACCACCACCCCAACCCCCACAGCTTGCTTCACCAAATGTAGCATAATAGCCACCCCCACAACCACCACAGCCACCACAAGAACCACATCCGCCTCCAATGTTTGTAGTTACAACACCTAAAGTACACACAGTAGAAGTACCATGTGGATCGTTACTTCTGTGGAATGCATTAGTGGGAGCTGCAGCACAAAAGAACCCAAGGGCTGCTATCAACTTGAGGTTCTCCACTGGTATTCGTCGAGGAAGCATCAAGGGGTCGATATACTTGTTAGATAGGCCGTCGACTGTATCTGGCATGTGCCGTGGTTGGCAAAGAATGTGTAGTACAGTTACACTTAGTCCCAGTGCCACATTCTCCACCCAATTCTTTGTGTTCCCACTCACCTAGAAAGACAAATCAACTTTGAATAAATATGGAATTGTAAAAAATTACCGTACTTGATACAAACTAATAAATACCATACAGTATATTGAATGTCAAAGTAGCAGTATAAATGATATACATACATTATGTGTTGGTAATGACACAAACTCACATAAATGCATGTAACTACAAATGTAGAAGAGGTGAAGGAGGCTTTTGGAGAGAGCATCTCTATGTAGGTTACTGAAGGTGAAACAAAAAGTTCATTTTCTTATAAAGGAAATTAAAATGAGTAGGTAGATGATATAAAAGAGAAAGGGATGGGAGATTTGCTCGTCTCTTAAAGGTCCTGGTTAACTAGCCATTCAGACAGCAATTACAAGTTTACGCCCACAAGTACTAGTACACACAGGGGAGATTCCATGGACATAATTCTCCTGGGTGAGTAAAGTATATGGTTATAATTTAATTCGCCCTAAGTGTCGCCCTGGGCGAAACCGCTTTTATGTTGGATATCAATATTTTAGCCCCTCCTCTATGATCTGAGTATAGACAGAGGTCCCTTACAGCACGGGAAATATGGTCAATTTGCCCGCAAAGAGAAACTTCTATTTTCATCTTTCGCTGCTGCTGGCTCGGGGTGCCGAGTTCTGGCTCCACATTCAAAGGACCCTACATCCTGTACACAGAGTGAGGCGGGCTGGCGAGGGCAGACGCTAACCAATCATCGTGCATGAGGCAGCGCTTTTCGCTCGCTGATTGGCTGGCGGCTGCTAATGTTGTTTTGGCGCATAGGGCCCTTTGGAGCGAGAATAATAATAATATTATTATTTTATTATTATTTTGTTACCATTTGCAACCAATATGTGCCATATAGCATTCTTACTGCTGACTTCATATTAACATAATTTACCTTTATAATGGGAAATAATTTAGTGCCAGAAAATGCACTCAAAGATCAGTTGGGGTTAAAAAACCATAGCCTATTATTTTAATATGTTATAAGAAGATTTTCTCCGTCAATTCATCTACAGATTTCAAACTTCAATTAAAAAAAAAAAGCACTCTAGCTCCAAAAATAACGTAGTTGTGGTTGGTTGAACTTCACCGAAGTTTGACTGTGTTTTCTGGCATATATATATATATATATATATATATATGTTTTCATATATATATATATATATATATATATATATATATATATATATATATATATATATATATATATATATATATATATATATATATATATATATATATATATATATATATATATATATATATATATATATATATATATATATATATATATATATATATATATATATATATATATATATATATATATACAGTTTTACCCCGCCTAACGCGGTTTCACTTAACGCGTTTTCGCATATACGCGGTGCCTTGCCAAAGCTGAACTTTCACTTAACGCGGATTTTTTCCACATACAGTTTTACCCCGCTTAACGCGCTTTCACTTAACGCGTTTTCGCATATACGCGGTGCCCTGCCAAAGCTGAACTTTCACTTAACGCGGGTTTTTTCCACATATACGCGGTGAGTGTCCGAGACGCTATTTTTAGATTTGCCCCACCCGCCACCCTGCCTGACTGCCTGTTTTAGCTCATAAAATTCATACAAATTACCAGGACAGAATATAATTTACATTGCTGGAATTCTTATAATTTGGTGATCATTTTGAATATAAACATCATATATTTTGCTTTAAACTTACAATTTTTAGATAAAATTTTTCTCTAGGTAACTATGGTATCTTTTGTGCAAAATATATGACATTTATATTCAAAATATTCCTGGTCTTACAAGGAATCCAGCAATGTCAATTATATTATCCTAACTTTAGTTTGAGGTATTATTTATTAAAATTTAGTGGTTATCCCACACATCTCCTTGGGACGGTTGGTGGGGGGAGGGAGGGACCGACCGACCATCTGTTACCCCGTGAAGAATTATTATTTTTTTATTAACTGAAGATATTTGTTTTAGCTCATAAAATTCATACAAATTACCCGGTCAGAATATAATTTACATTGCTGGAATTCTTATAATTTGGTGATCATTTTGTATATAAACATCATATATTTTGCTTTAAACTTACAATTTTTAGATAAAAATTTTTCTCTAGGTAACTATGGTATCTTTTGTCCAAAATATATGACATTTATATTCTAAATATTCCTGGTCTTACAAGGAATCCAGCAATGTCAATTATATTATCCTAACTTTAATCTGAGGTATTATTTAATACTAAATGTTAAAAACTCTGGAAGGGAGGATTGGTGGGGGGTGGGGGGGAGGGTTGGGACTGACCGCGCGGTTGGAAGAGGGGGGGAGGCAAGGTGGGGTACTTTGATTGACAGATAGTGTCGTGAAGATTATTTTTTTTTTATTAACTGAAGATATTTGTTTTAGCTAATAAAATTCATACAAATTACCCGGTCAGAATATAATTTACATTGCTGGAATTCTTATAATTTGGTGATCATTTTGAATATAAACATCATATATTTTGCTTTAAACTTACAATTTTTAGATAAAAATTTTTCTCTAGGTAACTGTTATCTTTTGTGCAAAAATATGACATTTATATTCAAAATATTCCTGGTCTTACAAGGAATCCAGCAATGTCAATTATATTTTCCTAACTTTAGTTTGAGGTTATCCCACACATCTCCTTGGGACGGTTGGTGGGGGGTGGGGGGGGGAGGGAGGGACCGACCGACCATCTGTTAGCCGGCTGTGTAGTGTGAGAGGGGAGGGAGTTGAGTCCATTATTTGAATGGACATTAACTTGGCGACTGTATTTCTCTATTTCTCTTAAGTATTAATTGTGTGCATGTACCATCATAAAATTAAGATGTTATTTTTACTACAACATAGGTATGTGCCTTCAAAAACTGGAGTTTGGGGGTCGGGCCGGTTTCTATTGGAATTAATCCCATATGTTCTGTTGTTCACTTAACGCGGATTTCACTTAACGCGGGACCCTCTGGGTTCAATTGACCGCGTTAAGTGGGGTACAACTGAGTAATACCCCGCTTAACGCGGTTTCGCTTAGCGCGAACTCACGAATACGCAGTGCCTCGCAAGAGCCGAACTTTCACTTAAACACACTTAACCACGTATACCAGAGTGTCTGGCTCCAGACGCTATTTTTAGATTCGCTCCACCCGCCACCGCCTGCCTGCCTGCCGGCCTGCCTGTTTTAGCTCATAAAATTCATACAAATTACCAGGCCAGAATATAATTTACATTGCTGGAATTCTTACAATATGATGATCATTTTGAATATAAACATCATAGATTTTGCATTTGACATACAAATTTTAGATATAATGTTTACTCTGAGTAAATATGTTATTTTTTGTGCAAAATATATGACATTTGTATTCAAAATATTCCTGGTCTTACAAGGAATCCAGCAATGTCAATTATATTATCCTAACTTTAATCTGAGGTATTATTTAATACAAAATGTTAAAATTTGGTTTTTTCACCCAACATCTCTTGAAGGGAGGATTGGTGGGGGGTGGAGGGAGAGGTTGGGACTGACCGCATGGTTGGAAGAGGGGGGGGAGGCAAGGTGGGGTACTTTGATTGACAGATAGTGTCTTGAAGAATATTTTTTTTTTTTATTAACTGAAGATATTTGTTTTAGCTCATAAAATTCATACAAATTACCCGGCCAGAATATAATTTACATTGCTGAAATTCTTACAATTTGATGTGACTTATTTTGAATATATAGTATATATACACTTAGACCCCGACTCATTTACCACGTGGACTTATTTACCGCTGACTTCATTTAATTTAGATATAGATAAAAAAAAAAAATTTAAATGACATGCATTTTCTATACCGAAACGTTTCCAGTTAATGTAGTCTCCATGTATAATTAGAAAATTATGTGGGCCCCATGTGCATTCAGCTGACTACATTAAAGGTTAAGTGCTCAGTCACACTGTATCCATTCCTTATTATTTATTACTTTCACTGTACTGTATCCATTCATCATTATTCATTACTTTTACTGTACTGTATTTCATTGTAGATTTTTTATTAATTTTTTATTTTTATTTTTTTTTTATCTATGTCGGACTTACGACCATGTCGGACTTGCGACCTGGATTTGGGTCCCTAACCCCGTCGTAAGTCGGGGTCTAGGTGTATATATATGTGTGTGTGTGTATATATATATATATATATATATATATATATATATATATATATATATATATATATATATATATATATATATATATATATATATATATATATATATATATATATTTATATATATATATACAGTATTACCCCGCTTAACGCACTTTCACTTAACGCGTTTTATCATATACGCGGTGCCTTGCCAAAGCTGAACTTTCACTTAACGCTGGTTTTTCCACAGCTACGCGGTGAGTGTCCGGCTCGGATGCTATTTTTAGATTTTGACCACGCGCCACGCGCCACCCACCCGCCCTCCTCCCTGCCTGCCTCTCCCTCCTCCTCCCTCCGCTTGGGTAAGCGGCGCGGTAAGGTTGCGCAGTGTGTGTCTTTGTTGCGTTATCACTGACGTCATATGACGTCTCGGACTGTGATTGGCCATGCAGCCCTACCCCCCTCTGCTGCTAGCTGTAATTGGCTTAAAGTATTATGACGTGACTACCCCGGGGAGGGAGGGAGGTAGGAGAGACGACGCTTGACCTAGCCGCGGCAGTTTCATCCCTCAAGGCCATGCCGGGTTAACGCGCATCCATTGTTCCGTAAAATGGCTTCCACCGAGTTCTTCGCCCGCAACCCACCACAGCCAGCCCAAGCCAGTGATAGTGATAGTGAAGTTGATTTTGAGGGATTTGTCAGGGAAGCCATGACAACTGTAAGTGACAGTGATATTGATTCACCTAGTAATGGTGATTCACCTAGTAATGGTGATTCACCTGAGGGGCAGTAATCGGCCCTCTGCCTCGGAACCAGCCTCCATCCCCGTATGCCGACCC